GGGGGTGCATGGTTGAGCGATGTACCAGAACAGGAGGTTCTGTGCGAGGCAAGTCTCCGCAGGCGTAGGTTGTGCGGGAGGGAGGAGTACACGAAGGAAGGTATTGTACGTCCGTAGGTGAGAGGCTGTGGGCAGGGTGCCTTATTGAATGGGGAGGGAGCCCCAGGGAAACTACTTTTTGTGGGTGCACCTCTCTGCCATGGGCTGAGTCTTGGTAGCTGTGTGCCTACGGAGATGCGTTTGTCCTGTCGTTTGGCAGGAGCACACCATGTGCAGGGGAACACAGGCACACGTGCAGATGGTGCGCGCATGCCCTTTCTGCCCCATCTCTTCCGCAGCGGGCAGGGAATGATGATTTTGCCCTCTGTTCCCTGTGTGGGATGACCCTGAGGCCCGGCACACGTTCGGGCTGGAGATTCACGCTTCGTTCTGGATTTCCTGCCTGGTGTCGTGGCCGCCAGGCCCTGCGGTGCATGCCCTGGTGGAAAGCAAGTTGCTGGAGGGTTACAATGTGGGAGACATTTATGTGAGATGACAGCAGTTTCTTTTGAGGAATTGCTGTGGGCTGCCAGAGATATTTCAAGCAAAGCAATGATGTCTTTGCCTTCCCCCTTATCCTTCCACTTGGAAGCTTCTGCTCTCCCCTTCTGTTTTCTCTCATTCATCTCCTCCCTCTCACCTACTTATCCTTGTCCTAGAAGAAGTTAAGTCTAGGCTCCCCCAGAAACTTTGCCCCCCCACCCTCTGCATGACCCAGCAGGTGCCAGGAAAAGTGTCCTTGCCATATGCAGGGCCTTCAGTCCTGGCTGGGCTGTTGAAGAGGGTCATCTCCTCCTTTCTTTGAGATGGTGCTTGGGCTACACTTGTAGCCCCATCCCATGCACAGTAGCAGAGGCAGGAGACACATACCTGCTCCCTGCTACAAAGTGCTTGCAAACTCTGTGTCTCACAAGGGTGCTGGGAGGAAATACGTATTGCAGATTGTCAGACGGCGCAGTAAATAGTTAAGAAAAATATAGTACATAGTGCGTGCGTGCGTGCATGTGTGCACGCTGGAAGGAATGATTGCTCAGGTGTTTCAATGTGCTTGTGCTGACAGTAGAAAATCTTAACCCAAGTAGAAGCAGGCAGAGCTGCTGTCTGTAGTGTGCAGCAAGATGGCAGTCCAGGGCCTGAGATGGCTTGCGTGTCTGTAGGATTTCAGACCTCTTTTCCACGAGTAAAATCTCCCCATCTAGCAAGTTGCACTGACAAAGCATGTCACTTCCTTTAGTGACAACACGTGCCTATACACATGCGCCAGGGTGGAGATGTTTTAATTAGAGCAGATCCCGAATAGCTGCTCGAATTAAAACGTTGCAGCGTCACGTGTATCAACCAACCTGCCTGGGGAAATGGCAGCGGGGGCATTTTAACTAAAGCTCATCTGACAATTTTAGTTAAAGGGCCCCCCTCCACCACGTGGAAACGTGGGACGCTTACTACACGTGACGGTGAGGCACAATGAATCGAGTCTGTGCTGATGTGTTGTAATTAGAGTGTGTCAGAGCATGTGTATAGGCACCCAAAGGCTCTGTAAAGGAAGCTAGTAAAGGAAGGGAGGGAGGCTGGTGTTTTACAGTCAGGATCAGAGGATGCAGAGAGGAGGGTGCTCCCAACTGCCCCGAGTCCTTGCCTGGTTTGTGTGTCCCTGCAGGATACATTTGATCCCGAGGATGTAAAGCCCGTGACACGTGAGCCAGCGTAGAAGCACGGCTGCAAGGGATGGTGCTTCTAGGAATAGCGTCACCTTTGTGGCAGTGCCGACGGGGAGTGAGGCGGGCTGCATCCCTCCTGCTCCCGCCAGAGTGTCAGGAGACGACCTGGATTTTCCTGGCCCCGCTCCTCCCACCGTGGCTCCCAAAGTCATGTTACGCAAGGCAGCCAGCAGACTCCCCTTGTGCTGACTCTTTGCCACATTCCCCAGCTTCCAGACGAAAGCGAGTCTGTTCCCAATTGTTTCTTGGAAAGCAAAGACCACGGAGTAGGAGCCACAGGCCAAATACAGTTCAGAACAACCACAGCGCAACTGGCCTCGGCAGTGACATCCCCTCCTGTCGCCCCACAGTCTTGACCCGTCCTGACCTCCTCAAAAATCCCCCTTCTCTGCGGGCAGCAGACCACAAGCTCTCCCTGGTCAAGCCAAGTGGCCTTGTCTGAGCTCCACGAGGTCAGATTCAATCGCCTTTCCTAGATCCTCAGATTAAGCCCACTGCCCCCATCCTGCCCAGGAGGATGTTTCAGTTTTATCTCTGCTCCAGAGTAAAGGGGCACGGATTCATGTCTGCCTCTGGTTTCCTACCAAGATAGCTTCAGTGGGACCCCTAGCAATGGTCTTCTGGTGCGCTACAGTTCCCGGCACTCGGGATGCTCCTCCCGCAGTGCCACTGTGCTGGGCAAAGCATGGCAGTAGGGAAGGAGTATGCTCAGCGAGGCCAACTCTCTTTGGAGACAGGCACTTGAGCTGAAGCAGCTCGGTTTATCAGTCAAGGCTGGAGCAAAGTCCTCCATCCTCCTGCTGTGAGTGTAAGGCAGAAGTAAGCAGCCCCTGGCACGGGTGCCACAGTGCAGCACTTGAATGCGTTTTGCTTGGCATACGTGCCTCGGGGTGGACGGCAGGGAAGGGGCCACTGCAAGGATCGGGCCCCTTGAGGCTCCCCCACCATCTGCCCTGGCACTCCAACATCTTCCAAGTCGAGGTCACGGGTGTTTTTGGCAACTCCACCCAAAAATATTGCTGACCCCTGGTTTGGAGGTTGCAGCCGCTGCTGAAGCCAAAAACCCAAATCCTGTATTTAGGGGTGGGAGATGAAGAAAGTGGGGGGATGATTTGCAATGGCTTTGTTTTCACGGTATGTTTGCATACTTTCTAAGAGCCATAGGGGGAGGGCGGAGATGGCTGGAGCAGCGAAAGATGTCGCAGGTAAGGACTCAGCTGTGTTGCGGGAGTTGTGGCGGGGAGCCCGGAGATAGCAAAGGGGCTGCAGGCTGGCTTGGGGTTGGGGGAGCCAAGGGAACTGGGGGTCAGCACGGTGGTACAGGTGAGGAGCCTTTGACAGGTGTTATGCACCTTGTACCTGGCTGCAGCCAGTGCCCTTGCACTTCACTTTCCTAACATGAAAAAACACTCTCAATGTGGTATTTCGGGTTAGTATATAAGCCTAAAAGTCCCTTTCTTTTCCCAGATGAGAAGCCCTGGAAAGGAAGACACTGGTGGCTGAGAACACTAAAGCCCTCCCCGCTGAAGCCATCAAGCAACCACAGCCAGCGAGGCCAGCTGCCCCTAAAGAGATCTGTCAGCACCGAGCGCTACGTGGAGACCCTAGTGGTGGCTGATAAAATGATGGTGGGCTACCACGGGCGGCGGGACATAGAGCAGTATATCCTGGCCATCATGAATATTGTAAGTGTTATACCCACATCGCAGTCCTGCTTGAGGTGTATAGCAGGGGAGCCTCTAAGTGATTCCCGCAGCACGGTGGGTGGGGAAGTTTGCTTTCTTCGAGGGAAAAGGAGACAGTGCAGAGCACCATGCATGGAGAGCTGCCCCTGCTGGCCATGCCCTGAAGAAACAGCGGCAGATCAAGGCAGGTTACCTGCCTTCGTGGTCCGCTTGATTTGGAGCAGGGCCCAAACTGACCCAAACATAAAGCCCCCAAACCCGCTTGCTTATTTTCTGGGGAGGGGGAATCACAGTGGGCTGGAGCGCGGAGTCGGTTGCCAATGCACTCAAGTAAGAGTGGCAGAAGCTGGCCTCAGATGGCCATACTACGTGCCAGATCTGCTGCGAGAGGAGAGAGCCTTCGAACAGCCTTGCAAATGATCTCTTCTGATCAGCATTGCAAATTGGGCAGGAAAACAGATAAACGTCGAATCATAGTCGTAGAAAATGAGGCTGGAAGGGACCTCAGGAGGTCACATCTCGTCCAACCCCCTGCTCAACACAGGGCCAGCCCCAACTACATCATCCCAGACAAGGCTTTGTCTAGCCGGGTCTTAAACCTCCAAGGATGGAGAGTCCGTACCCTCGCTGGGTAGCCTGTTCCAGTGTTTTACTACCCTCCTCATGAGAGAGTTTTTCCAAATATCCAACCTAAACCTCCCTTGCTGCAACTTGAGCCCGTTGCTCCTTGCTCTGTCATCTGCCCCCACTGACAACAGCCCAGCTCCATCCTCTTTGCAACCCCCCATGCAGGGAGTTGAAGGCTGCTATTAAATCCCCCCTCGGTCTTCTCTTCTCCAAAATAAATAAGTCTAGTTCCTTCAGCCTCTCCCCATAAGTCATGTCCCCCAGCTCCCTAAGCATTTTGATTGCCCTCCATTGGACTCTCCAACTTGTCCACATCCTTTATGTAGTGGGGGGCCCAAAACTGAACACAGGACTCCAGATGTGGCCTCACCAGTGCCGAATAGAGGGGGGAGAATCACTTCCCTTGATCTGCTGCCAGCGCTTCTACTGATGCAGCCCAGGATGCCATTAGCCTTCTTTACAACAAGGGGACACTGCTGGCTCCTGTTCAGCTTATTGTCCATTGTAACCTCCAGCATCTTTTCTGCAGAGCTGCTGCTTAGCCACTTGGTCCCCATATGGGAAAACACAATAGCAATCTGCTCTCATGATGCAGGGTGCAAATTGATCACCATAAAAATTAGGAAGGAATAAATCCCATCCTTCCAAATGGTGCTGCCCTTTCCTCTAGGTTACAGAGCAGTTAGGACTTCCTCTGCAACACTGGGATTGGGTTACTGTTGGAGATGGGATCCCAAGCTAGAGACAGAGAGGCCGGTCCGGCTGTGCTGAGTCTTGGGAGGTGAGACAGGCTAGGAAGGCGTCCACAGATATATGAAAGCCCTCTTTTCCCCACCCTTTTAACTAGAGTGAAGGGCTCATTCTGTTTGGATTTTCAAGGCAGGGGCCAGATTTTAAAATAATCCATGTATCAGCAGTTGCACATGGTATAAAGCATTCATAATGTTGGAAAAACTTTTAAGGCTTGGTACAGATGTTCAAAAAACCTGAGGTGGACTGTCTAAAAGTGTAATGCCCATACTTGGCCTAAGAGACGTGTCATTTCTGGCCCACGTACATAGTCATCAGACCCAACATTTTAGGCACCTGAACAACTTACCACCAGGTAGACGGGTGTGGAGCTTTACCATTGCGCAGTAATAGTCCAAGTGTATGCCCTCGCTCTGTAGCAACTGGAAGCTGAGACACCGTTACTCACTTCTTTTTCACTTTTGTACTGTTTAACTTCCTCAAACAGGCTGATAAAGGCAGCTGTGATGGAGCTGCCAATGCATGGCAAAGTCCTGCCCGCTTTGGCTCCATAATTGACAC